CAGTTGGTCTTAGGTGCCAGGACGTGCTGGCCGAAATATCGTCTAAAAGAGGGAAGCAAATTCCGGAAAATCTCTCCCTCGGCACTGCCAGCGATGACATGCAATTTTCGTGCGTTGCATTTTGCTCGCTTCTGTTTCCCGCAGCTGCAGCGTGCGCACCCTGAAGATGTTGCATTCTTACGAACACTCAGCGACAGACAGCAGAAAGAGGCTTTCGGGACGCTGAAGAAAGGGGGTTTTCAGGTGTCATAGTTGGCGAGCTACAGAAAGCAAACCTTCTCTTTGCCAGGAGGCTTCTGCAGCTGCAGCAGGGGATGGATGCAGAAAAGGCCTTCACCGACAAGTTCAGGAAGGAGTTTCAGGCACGGCTCTTGTCGAGCGCCTTCGTCTTCGCACTCTGTTTCTGCCAAGCTTCCAGGCGGTGCAGGACGCGCCAAGGTACGACATTGCCCCTGTTTTCGATTTGTTCGTCGACTACAGCAAGGATTGCTGCAAGACTCTTGTCTGCACTGGAGAAGTCTTGCTGTAATCCCTGGCGAGAACCTTTTCACGGCCATCCCAGAGAACAAGCCTGAAGAGCGGCTGAAGGAGATCGAGGCACCTGCCCGGCTTCAAAGCCACCAAGCTCGGGTGTAAATCCAAGCTTGCCTCTGCTAGCGCAGATTTCTGTCACGCCAAGATGCTCTGTGTGTGGACAGTAATGTCGCTTCGAAGATGTACCGGCTTGCCCTCGCAAATCCACTTGTTTTGCGTGTCATCCATGCCGCAACTGCTGCCAGAGCTTCTTCGCGCTGATCCTCAGTATGCTGTCCTACTTCGAGGTGCGCCGAAATGCGGAGTTGTGACTCCCAGTGTCCGAGTGCCCGTATCCACAGGACAGTGAACATTTGGACAAGTCAACAACAAGACTCTGCGAATTATTGAGCGCAGACACAGAGCAGTCGCCGGCTCAGCACCATGCGTGAGGCATGCGGTTTGCTTGCTTTATTAGGGTTGTGCTGCCGCAGCGAGTGGGGCCAAGAAAGAGACCCGGTAGAACTTGGAGTGCAAGGGTAAAGGCACTGTTCTGTTGCCGCCTTTCAGGCAGCCCGAGCTGCGACTCAGACTGCTGATGATGCTGTACAACACCTTCAGCCCTCCTCTCCAGTCCGGAACTTAAGTCAGGCATCAGAAGCTTTCTCGCCGAAGGGCTCTTTTGGACACATCGAGCTGTCTCCTGAAGTCAGACTAGACACTTCGTTCGTGCGAAGGCAGCGGTACAGGATCTTCAAGCGCCCTGGTGGCATTGCAGTTTCTTTGCAGACCTCTGGACTTCAGCGGCACGATGTTCGAAAGAATTCGAAAGACGATTTTCCATGTGACGCCCAAGACCGACGTCAGCAGGCCGTAGATTTACAAGATCCTAACCAGGCAAAAGCCATGAGCGGTGAAAGCCATTCTTTAGTGTTCCAGAGGTGGTTCTTGTATGTTCCCGGAAAGCCTTCTGAATGCTTGGCACACACGACAACGTGCTCCTCCTGAGGCTGCAGCCCCAGAGACAGGATCGATTGCCGGGCAAACGTTGCGAGAGAGACAGAGAAAGAGAGCAGGAGAGAGAGGTAGCCCCAACCCAAGCCTCCACCAAGCAAGACAGAGACAGAGGGAAAAGTTTCAGAGAGCCTCGTCTTTCGTGCCGGGGGTGGTTGCCAGGAACGCTTTCGGAAAGCTTTCTCCCGGGTTTTTTGGAACTTTGCAAGAAGCATTCCAAAGCGTTCGGCAAAAGCGTTTCAGAAAGCCTTCCGAAAGTGTCCTTGCACGGCTTCCGGGTTCCTAAAGCGTTTCCCAAAGCGTTCTGGGATCGCTCCCCTCCGCTTCCCGGTGCCTCACGAGCAGTCAGTCATGGCCCACTCGCGCACACATTAAACATTCCCCTTGGAGGCATAAGCCAACATATCACCAGTATGAATTACATTCGGAATGCAATCGGGAAATACTCCTAGAAGTGTTTTTGGAACACAAACCTGGAATCTTGTAACGTTAGATGACCTCAGGTATGCCTTGGACTACGCAGCAGCGGCCGACATGTTCGACCAGGCCATGCTCCCAGAACTCTCCGTCTCCGATCGTCTCTTCTAGTTTTGCAGAGGCTTTCTGCGCAGTTTTCTCCAGAAGCCGAGACGCAAGAGATCGGACCTGCAGAGGTTTTGCCCTACCTCGACTACCTTGACTCGTGGATGGTCCGTCTACTCAATTGAACTGTGGAGTCGGTATTCTGTTCACCTTTTGGCGGCCCAGGCCGACTGGGAGTCGTACCTCAAGATCGACGAGAAGCGAGCATTGTATGCCGACATCTCTAGACACATGAGGCCTGTCTGGGCCACGCAAGCCCCGGTTCGCCCGATTGAAGTTAAGCTTGGTGTCTTGCCAGGGGCTACGGCAAGAAGTCCGAGGCCTTCCAGTACCTGAAGCAGCCAGATCCTCAGAGCACTCTCGCAGACGGGCAGAAACTAAACAGAATCCACGAGAAGCCAGGGCCTGCCTAAGGCCCCCGAATGTACAAGGTAGACTCAGACCCTCAGCAAGTCCCAAAGGAGGAATTTGTTTTTTTTTTTCTCCCGCTAGGTACCATGGCCTCTTCCAGGGAGCAGCTTCGGACGCCATGACCAAGCCAGAGGCCAGAGTCGGCCATGGAGGGGGAGGAAGAGAGGGGAGGGGGAGGGGAGAGGGAGGGGAGGAGGAGGGGAGGATGACCTCTTAGTGGGAATCCGTGGGACATACTTGTAGGGGAACTTTCCGGCGCTAAAAGCGGGGTGGCGAGGTGGAGTACTTGTAGCGCATTGGAGCCGGGTCATGCACAGATGGATCCTAGTCGATATGGCCCGCTCGCGAGAAGGCACAGCTCGAGTGCCGTGCAAGCACTTCGTTTGGCGGTCCTGAGCGCATTCTGGCTGGCGTGCGCAAGATGCCTCCCCGACTGGATATAGGAAGCGCAGCAGGGGCCAAGTCCGCATCACCGCACCGGTTCCACTTGGAACTCAGTCCGCAATTCACCGGCGCAGTGTGTCTAGCGGCATCGACATGTGTCGGCGATGCTGTTTCAACTCAACGCTCGTTTCTGGCAGGTCGTTGAGCAGACGATCCAGCTGATCAAGGATGAACTGTCCCGTCACGGATCCCTTCAGAAGCCCTTTGAGCAGAATTCCCTCTTGCCGGAGGATGCAGTGATGCTCCCAGCGGTGATTCAGTTCGACGACGTTTTGATGCTGGACACGGTCAAGGCCAGCTGGCAGCTTGTGGAGGCTGCCGTGAACTCCTGCGCTGCGCTGCGCATGTGAGGCTTTGAAAAGCACCCCTCAGGGAAACCTTGTGACCCTCTGTGAAATCTTCCTGCCTGGGGCTTGAGGGGCGGCTCGCACAGATGATACGTCGCACGTTGTCCATGTTGCTAAGGTCTGGTTCGGTGGATGACCTGAAGGACATGCATAGAGCGGGGTTTTTGCCACGAGTGCTAGAGTCATTCTCCTTGAAGCGTCTTCCACACGCTCCTGACGGGTGTTTTCTGTTTCGAGTCTGCTGTCTGGCCTCTTGCTGCGAGCAATCCCAAAACGGCATTGCCTGATGTCAGAGCAGGACTTCCACAAGAAGAACGAGAAGCTCTTTGATGAGCATTCCCTAAACTTTCAGGTGGATCACGATGCGTTTCTTGATTCACTGTCCTTTGCAGAGAGTTTGCGAGAACCCACCTTTCAATCTCGTTCCTTTCTTGACGGTATGAGCATGCTTGGGCTAGGGCAGGCTGGATGAACGACACGCATTTCTCGGCAGGAGGCGATGTCCAAAATTAGACTTCTGACCTTGGCCACCATGGCTCGGGGACAGTCCGTGCCCCGTGAAGTAGCTGAGACTCGCCGGTGCACCTTTTGAAGATGTTTTTCAGGTCGGAACTCCCTTTAGATGACATCGCCAAGCGCATCCAGGACACTTCGACTTCCTGTGTTGTACGTACCCTTGCGGTTTTCACGTTGCAGGAAAGCCCCACGGCCGTGGAGCCGTGGGTCGTTCGGGCGATCTCCGAGGGCGTCATCGATGGGCGCATTGACCAGCTGAACCGGAAGGCCGCCCCGGCCGCAACGCCGTCCGAGTCGTACCTGTAGCACTCCACGTGAGCTTTGGGAAGGTGCTGGTGAAATCCGCCTTCTTGCGCAAGTTCGAGAAGGAGGTCGACGAAAACGGCAAACGGATGTCTCATGGTTTCCACCGGATGCACCTTCTGAAGGAGTGGAACTTCCTGGATTCCAAGCCGTGGCCACGGTCTTGCTTGCACTCGTCTCTGGTTTTCCAGTGCAGCTTTGCAGGCTCTCGCATTGGATCGAGAACCTGGAGCAGGTGATCAAGTTCCTGGGTGAACAGAAGAACAAGAACGAGGCCAGGCGGAGCCAGGCTCTTTTTTTCCTCCTCTACTTACCTACTTCCAGAATTTTTCGCGAGGCTCTCATGGCCTAGGCCTGCCGCACAGCCGGAGAAAGCGCGCGGAGACCTCGGACGAGGGGCTCTGAGGATCCGAGGGAGCTGGGAAGCTGGGGTGATGCGAGTAGGGGCCGAACCCCGTGTGTCAGGTGCTCAAACGAGCGCCACCTCGCGCCACCTTGGCGGACACGTTTCCACAACAAGATCCGCTCTCCTGACCCCTCCGGGCAACCCTCACCTTCGGGCAGACGAGACCGGACATTTGCCTCCCTAGAGGTAATTTTGTTCGTGACTGTCCTCCGGCCCTGTGATTCAGAGATGAGCAGACAGAAGCATTTTGTCAAGGGTGAATGCGATGTCAGACTCGTTTTGATGCCCGAAGCATTGTGTACAAATTGCCATGCAGGCCTTCGTGCAATCTGTAGAGGGTGTAAGCGCTTGCGGCACGGCTCAGGCGAAACGCCAGCTTAGCAAAATGTGACGGCATTGCTGTTGCTGGGATGCTTGGATGCTCTGTTCTGTAGCCGCGACAGACTTCTGGCTGGCGGAGCCTCATGCAGGAGGCAGAAGATGCACTCGCCCCCCTGCTGAGATGCCTTGCTGGCATGTTGAAGAATGCCGGGGGGGGGACTGCCGCCACGGTCACGCTAGCCTTCAGGCTGCAAGGTGCTTCAGCCCGGACCTTGGCAGTTGGCAGTTGCGGCAGCTGCATGGAGGGACAACGTGATCATGACCGATGTTGAGTTCATGCGAGAAGTGGCATCAGTGTTTTTTTGAAGAATTCAACATGGACAGCCATTGGGACCATCGACTGTATTGGACTTACATGTGAGCAAGCAAAACTGGCAACTGTCTGTGAGGCTGCAACGGCTTGGGGCATAGCTGAGAAAAATTGAGCGAATGGAGCCAGTCTTGGATAGCGCGGGATCCTTCACCTAAAGTAAGTAGCACCTCGACGATCCCAAGCTCTTGTCTCGCGACATGAATCACCTGAGGAAGGCATCGATAATCCCCGCAACTCCCTCATAACGGCGAACTTGAAATTGAACTTGGAACTGCCATGGACACCATGGAAACCATCTTGGAGTGGAACGCTTGGCCACACTGAGAGGTTGCAGCTGGCCGTTTCCAAGCCCCGAGCCGCGCAGCTTTTTGCAGGACGACTGCATCAGGCCGACCCCTTCCGGAAGCACGGGTGTTCTGTTGCGTGTTTTCAGGGGTTGCTTTGTGTCGTGGTTGGGGTTGACAGGAAGTACTGCAACAACCTACAAAGCGCATAAAACACCTTGAGGAAGGCTTCAGAAAACTCCAGCAAGCTCATGGGAAGGTCTCAGCTCCTCTGAAAACCCTTTTAAAAAGGCCACGAAAAAAGCGCCAACCAAAGAAGAGATACCCTAAACCCTAAACCCATTTCATTTTTTAAAGCTCTTCAGAGACGAGAGTTTCGGCTTTTTAGGCCCTGGCCCGGCGACTGCCGGTGGTTTTGGAAAAGGCGCCGGCCGCTCTGGTGCTCCCCTGGCCCAGGGCTCACTTACAGGTTTTGGGGGTATTTGGGGTTTCGGGTGTTTACGGCTTCGGGTTTTAGGGTTTGGGGTTTTAGGTTTCGGGGTTGCGGTTGATGATTTATGGAATTGGGTTTGGGGGTTTCCCGTTATTCAGAGCTTTGGGGGTCTGGGTTTAGAGCTATATACCCCTCTCGCTCGCTCACACCCTCTCCCTCTCCCTTTCCCTCCCTGTCCCTATACACTCACACGTACATGCACACATGTCTGTACATTTGTATACATATGCCAAACCCAAACCCGAATCTGGTTCTGCGTCCGCCCTAGCTGGAAGAAACACTTGAGCCTTGGTCAACTAACACCGATACTGCAAACCTCGATTGTCTCCGCTGAGCTGCTTTTGTTGTCATTCGTCAGAAGTCCTCTTTTCATCCCACAGAGGCACGAGAAGGCTCCTGAGTCTCTTATCAATGGCGAGAACTCATCGAGTTCTTAGAATCTGCCAACATCACAATTTTACGTATAGATGGTTCGGAAAAGAACTAGTCTCCCTCCACCATACTCCAGCTACATTCTGATCACGTTGTAACACGGATGGAACAGCTGCTCGCTTCTTTATGTCATATGGAATGAAGCAGCAAATGCCAAGTAAAGATCAACTTTTCTCTTTCTCATAAGAACTACGGAAGTGCCCCGTATCCCTTGTATGCTTCATGGGAGTTAGGACTAAATATATCAGGAAAGCGTTCGCTGTTCCGCTCTTCGCAAGAAGCAAAATACCACTTGGTTCATGCAAACAAAAACCAGACTCATTTGCACCGTATAAGCAGCAATTAAACCAAGAGAGCTGCTGCATCGTTCAACAAGACATAAATGGCTCCTGCCTTGTCGCCTAAGCCTCTTCCCTTCTTCATAAAATGAAAAGAAGCTGTTAAAGAGAAGAGCCTTTTCAATCCATGAGCAAAAATATAAAAGCTCCTGCAGTTGATACTCCAAAATACAATAGCATCATTTTGAAAGGATGAAATGTGAGAGCTCCTTTATCTATGAGCGACGCACTATAGATTTAGCAAAGACTGTTGCAATACAGAATCAAAGCCTCGACTAACCACATCTACACAACAAGAACAACTGCTCAGCACGGTAATGCTGCTACTGGTACTGCTGCAATTACAATTGGAACAAGAACAACAGGTAATACGGACAACATGTACCACTTTCAGCACTACTAGCAATAATAACAATGCTGCCGATATAAGAATAATATCATACTTAGACAATAAAAATAACGATCATAGCAATAATCATAAAAAACAATAACACAGTAACAATTAACCCCTGGCATCTATGAGGAACGCAGGGACAAGGAACATTAGGGAAACTGATAATCCCTGCCGATGTTTTCGCATCTGAGGTTGCCAAAATGCTGCCAGGCTCAAATGTCCTCATTTTTTCGAGCCTGCGATGTGGAGTGCGGGAGCAGATAGTTGCTCAGATTTTGTGAAATTTAGGGAAATTTGATCCCTGCCAGTATGTTCGCATTTCAGGCTTCAGGAATTTTGGAGGCCATTGTTTTCGCATCTGAAGTTGCCCACCTCCCTGATCCACTGATTACAAAACGCAAGCTCGGGTGGATCCGGGGTGGGGGGACGGGTGTTATATATATATATATATACATATATATATATACACATATATTCTATTCTATTATATTATAGTAAATTATGTTATGCTATATTATATTATATTACAATGCATTATAATATATGTATGCATATATATATATATGCACACATACATATGTATATGTCTGTTGGTGTGTAAGTTCAATATGGTAAGCAAGACTACCGGAAGCTGTATCTGTACAGACCTGTCGAGCTGTGGGCTGTGGAGTTTCCCGACTTCCCGGTCTTCTGGAACTCCTTTCGCGATGTCCGTTTGTTTTGGCGAGGAGGGAGATACAACCCTGAACTCCAAATCCTTGCCCCTCAACCCTAAACCCTGAACTCCAAGCCCGAACTGCTTACCCCAAATCAGTGTCAGATTCTTGAGGCTGGAGTACTACGCAGAGCACGGCCTTGTAGATCACGGCAACGTCGCCGTTTGGGAGCATGCCGAGCCCTTGGGCTGCTCCAGTGACAGCGAGACGGCTCCCCCAACTCGATTCTATTTTCAAGAGCATGCAGTTTTGTACCCACGACAGGAAATTGATAGCTCACTCACTAAGTTGGTTACTCTTGCGAGAGCGTGAATCAGCAGCAGGCTGGCAAGGCGCTCCAGGCGTCTTTCATGTCGGATGACGAGGTGAGGCTGGTGCTATTGCGTCCAAAGCAGATGTTTTCTGTGTTGCGCAGGAGGCCCGGCTCTTTCAGATCCAGGACAACACGCACCGTGCTGTAATGAGTCCGTTTCGGATGCCAGGCCTTTCTTTGCAAAGAGCCTTCTAGATGCTCTCCTGCGCTATTGGGGCACTTGATTCCGGTGGCCGAAGGAGCGCATTCCGCTGTGGGTGTCCGAATGTCTCCCGATGGTATCCAGGCAGTCAAGCGGTGCACGCTTCTTTCGACTGCGAGACTTGCCAAGCTGGCATTATGCCTTGCTTCAGGCCTTCGAGTGCGATTGTACCATTTGCTCCAGCACTGGAGGTGGAGGAGGCACGAGAGGGCAGCAGACCTGCTCTGGTGAGCCTGTGACATTTTGTTGGTCTTCGGAGCCACAGGAGGACAGTAAGCCGGGGCCACCAATCTCAAGGCTTTTGATGTTGTTCATGTTACACCGGCAGAAGGATACTATGACTTCAATCTTCAAAGCCGCAGCTGCTGGGGCACGGGAGCCCAACAACCAGAACCCATCAATACATCACCTGACGACTTTTTTTAGTGTAGCTGGGTTCAGACTACGAAAGGGAAGCATGCGCAAGAGCGCCTCCCATGGCGGGCTTCCGCGGGATCCAAAGCGCGATCCAAAGCAGCGGCGGGCCCTTCTGCGCCACATCGACTGCATCAAAGCAGGCCCCTTCTCTCTGCTCTCTTGCAGCCGAAGCCGCGTGTCGAGTTCTGAACGCAGGCTTTCCGGAGATCGTGTGCTTCGAGCAAACGGGTCAACGTCTCCGAGCCGAGGATCGACACGCGCAGCTTTCTTCTGCCCTGCAGAAGGGAGATGCCGAAAGTGTGCAGAAGCTTTGTGCCGTGGCGCTCTCGGATCCGGCCCTGCAAGGGACGGAGCTCGTCTGCAGCTGCAAGAAGCTGCTGCGGCACCTCCTACACTTTCGCAAGCTCTTGAAGGATGGCCGTTCCTTCCTGCAGGGGATTCCCTGGGACTATCCGGCGGAGCAAGTTGACATCAACCTCGGTTTGCTGCGGAACTCCCAGTGGGGTCCCGGAGTCTGGGACGAGGACCTCGTGGCCCGGGCCTCATAAAAACCAGCCACAATGCGGTGCTAGCGAACTAGCTATGCCAGCGATTTCGAGTTCCATGGTTGGCATGTCAGCAAGCACTCGTAAGCTTTCAGCGGTGAGGGCTCAGCATTTGGATCAGATCTGAAAGGCTCGTTTGGAGTCTTTGGGGTTTAGGGCTCAGTATTGGGAGGTTTGGGTGCTGTTTAGGTTCAGGGTCCTCGAAGTTTGGGGTTGAGGGTTTGGGGGCCTAGGACATTCGAGTTTTGGGGCTTAGTGGGGTGTTGCGTTCTGGATTCCAGGGTTTTGTTGAGGCTTGAGTCTTGAGGCTTTGAAGTTTTTTGGGGTTTAGGGTTGCAGGGTTTTTAGGGTTTGTTTGTTTGTTTGCTGGGTTTTCAGGGCTTTGGGTCTCGGGAATGCTGGAGGGTTTTGGGGCAGAGGGTTCTAGGGTCCAGGGATTTCGGGTTCTGGGGTATATCCGAAAACTCGCTCGGGGATGGAGGGTTTGTTCGGGCGGCGCTTGAAGTTAAGGTTTCAAGCTTTCATGTTGAGGATGCTTCAAGTTTCAGGGTTTGCGTCCACGATTTTTGGTTGAGCGTTAGAGTCAGATATTCTGGCTGAGGCTGGTTTTTTCATGCTTCCGGAGCTTTACGGTTTGGATGCGGGATCTGGCGGCTTCGATCCGGTCCTGTGGGGGTTTTGGAGCTCCGCCTTTGAGGGTCAGGGGGTTGTAACAGGTTGTCTACTTGGCTTTCTGGAATTCGTTGGGTTGTGGGTTGGTTGTATGGGTTTGGAGAGGGGATCAGGAGAATAGGTCTTTGAAAGGGTGGGCATTTGTAGTGTAGTCAAAGGGTGCTTGCAACCTCGGTTTCAACCGATGTGCTTGCTGCTTCATTCATTTCACTGCAGGGGTAACCGGCGAATTTTGCCTGACTTCAGGAATCCGATCTTATTTACAGGCCCGACTTTCTAGAATTGCACCCAGGATGCCCACCTTGCCAGCATACGGAAGTCAAGCCGAGTCAAGCCAATTCCGCAAGACGAAACCAGTCAAAGCTTCAGTGGCTTTAGTTCTACGTTGGAGGTTTGGGTCTACTGCAGGGGGCCCACATCCTCAGAGATAAGACGGAGATCTGAGCGCAAGGTGACAACTGCGCCGTTTTCTCTCACCGTCCTTACCTAAAAGACCTGTAGTTGCAGAAAGTTGTGTTATGTTCATGCTTGGGGATGCCGTGTTTCTGCAGCCGGTGTTTCCGAAGTGTTGAGCCGCCCCTTATAAGGCCTCGGCGGCCCCTTACACAAGTAGAGGCTCACTCAAGGATGAGGTGATTCCATGAATGTTGGCATTCGCTCAAATGTCCGACAACGCTGCCAACGCTCCCTAACCCGACCCCGGAGAGCGCTCCACAAGAAACTCCTGCACAGCGTGCATGCCTGGGTCAGATGTGAAACAGCTGTTTAGTTTACAGCTTTTTCTGCCTAGAGGGGTCTTCTAAGCGCGCTTAGAATCCCTCTGCAAATAATACAATCGCAATCGAACTTCTACGATGCCCAAACCCTGTCCGGCCTTCCTTTCATGCGCAGCTTTCATGCCACAACCTTGCAACACTCCGGGTGTCATGTTTGGCATAGAGAGGTTTTTGGTATTGAGGAGTGTTTGTAACATGTTTGGGTACTGTGGGCTGCATAGCGAAGCAAACTTGCCATCCCATGTTTTACGGCTCAGGAAAGGAGAGTGGTGCTTCGCGAAAACCGCTAGTCACCTATTCGTTGTTGTTGTTGTTGTTGCTCTTGTGGGGATGTGCTGACTGTTGGTCAGACCTAGTCAGAATCTTAGGTATTGTGGCGCTGGTATTGACGGGAAACTTTCACGCTGATCGACGCAACAATACTGTCAAGCTGTAAGGACAGGAGTGGTAGTAGAAGCAGCAGCAGGAGCAGCCGCAGGAGTAGCGGTAGAAGTAGTAGTAGTAGTAGTCGTCGTCGTCGTCGTCGTCGTAGTAGTAGTAGTAGTAGTAGTAATAGTAGTAGTAGTAGTAGTAGTAGTAGTAGTAGTAAGAGCTGACAATGAGCAAACATAAAGTTCCTTATTGAAGCATCATGAAGTCAGCGCGTAGTCACCCCCGTAAGTGCACAGAACGATTTTTCCATCAAAGAGCCAGTCTCCAGTAAGCGTAACAAGTACGGCGTGTAAGAAGACTTCCAATGGTTCAATTTTTCGAACAACTGAAGTTGCATGTGTGTGTCTCTGTGTGTGTGTGTGTGTGTGGAAGTGTTTTGTAAGTTCCTGTTATTCGTCCTGCACCACAGTGCTACGGGTGATCAAAGCGAAAGGACAGCTTTTGCAATCCATGTGAGGCCAAAGCCAAGATTATGAAGGACGCCGATCTGTTGAAGCTTTTGCGGTCCGTTCGGCCGTTAAACGACGATGGCTCCCTGAAGACGCGCGTAGATCTTCATCGCTGCGTACGAGCCTGGTTGACTCTCACTGAAGCAGGCGTGTTAAGTGAACACCTCTCAAGGACGCAGGGGGCTGGCTTTGAGAGTGATAAGAGGGCTTTTGCAAGGGTTTCACCCATGATGCACGCTTTGCAACGCCGGGGCCACATCCCGCAGGATGATTCTCTTGCGGCTGTGCGAATGTGGCAAAGCGGGTGTCCCTCGGAAAATGTCGTTTGCGGCACAAGCCCGTCCGAGTATTCGGAGTTGCTTGGTCAGCCTATTGCAAGGTCGCTTTGGGATTGGCCCTCGCCGAGCCGTGGTTTCTTTTGCAATACCACGGAACCACACAGATGGCCTTCGTCATGGAGGCGGCGCCAGCTTTCTGAAGACCCGCGCAGTCGCTCTGTGTGGAGATATGCTGCAGGAGCTCTGGAAGCACCTCTGGAAAGGAGCGCAGCTCAATAAGACGTCTGAGCTGAAGGTCGTGCCCATCCTCCCAGGCGGCACGAATGGAATGTGGTAAGATGTGTACGTGGTAGGATTGTAGAGTATTGCAGAGTCAGTGCGCGCGCAACTGTGGCAGTTTGGCCTGGCACGCAGGACGAGCCTCGGGGCTGGGTGATCTTTCTGGATATGTACGAGCGCAACAGCGGGAGCTTTCTGGGCTTTGCAAGTGTCCGCATGATGAAAATCTGCAACCGGTCAGTAGGCAATCCTCCAGCTGCGAGGAGTTGCTGCTGAAAGGCCCGCCAGGTGTCCTGAGCACCGCGCGGAGAATCTTGCAGCCTGGCAGTTTTCTTACGGTCGAAGTGGGGCCTTATAGATTCTGGCAAGTCGACTGATGCAGCATGGACGTGAGGGATTCAGAAGTGGGTGCTGCAGCGGAGCCGGGGCCTCGCGATGCCGAAGCCGCCCGGCTGGCGACGGTGCTCTGCGTGATCCCGACCCCTGCGCTGCTGATTTTGGGGCATCAAGGGTCCCTTGCCTTAACTGACGCGTTCGCTGGCTCACAAGGCTTTTTTTGAAGAGCAGAGATGCCACCCGAGGCTCTTTCCGACGGTGCTTCAGCACTGTGCTGAAGCTCCGCTCGCAGCGGCGCTGCAGGTCTGCGCTGCGGCCGTCGGTCTCACACTCACCTGGTCTCCGAAGAGGCCTTTGGAGGGCGAACCACACGATGCTCCGTTGCCGCACTGCTGCTCCTCACGAAAGGTCCGAGTCCGAGGCCCTGCCAGAGCCGGCGGAGTCCGCGGAGTCCGCGGAGTCGGAGCCGAGAGTTGAAGAGTCGCCGAAGGGCTCCCCGAGGGGCTCCAAGGGCTCCGCGAAGTCCGCGGACGCCTTCGCGGACGCCTTGGGCGCGTCGCTCCTGGCGGCCGCGGAGCAGCTGCAGCGCATCGGCTATCCCAAGGAAGCGAGAAACCAGGCCCGGGCCGGGGAGAGGTGAGATGGATGGCGAGTGAGGATTTTTCAGGCCTTTTGCCTCATGGAGCACCGCCTCAGGAGCAGGCTGGCATGAAGATGATCTTGCAACTCGCCTCGACTGGAATGTTTTGGGGCCTGGGCGTTGCGTGCATCCCTGCATCCCTGCGCCGAAGGTCAGCCTGTGCCAAGGACATCGAGGACAAGAAACAGTTGACAATTGAAGTCTCCTGACTCAAAGCCATAAGTTGCAGAGACAAACACCTCTTTTCAAGTTCAATTTTTGAGTTTAGCCTCTGGAGAGATCCAGACGAGTTGTCCAAAGATCTGCTGCACTCTGATCGCGATGCTGGAGGTCGTGTGTTGAAGCGTCAGGCCTGGCGGTCGCGCTTCCAGCTGCTACTGTATGCCTCGCCATCAGTTATACGGGAGTTCCAGCACTGTGATGGGCCCCTGCTCTGCGTTAGATGCAGCATGCCCTCCTCGCCGGAAATGCGGTGAGTGCCACGTCTGAGGTCTCTAAGGGACCAGAAACGGCCAAAGAGTAGTGGCAAGGTGGAAAAGACCAACAATTGCACTCAGTCGCAGCCTGTCATGTTGAAGGTACTGTGGCAGCCTTTTCTGCACCGAGGGAGGGTTCAAATCCAGGAGCTCACGGGGGCGCTGGAATCGGTGCCAGAAGCAGGAGATGCAAGGCCTGTTCTGGATGTCTGACATGGGCAAAGAGTGCCATCCACTGCCTGAGCTTCAGTGAAGTTGATCCTAGACCCCTAAACGTGCAGAGCGTCTGTGCTTGTGGAGCTTGTCACAGCTTGGCGTCGGCACGGCCGCCATCCATGTCTCCGCAGGGAGCTTAGCTCGGTTTTGGTGGGCTTGGTTGGCCTTCGGGGCGCCGAATTTCTGGCTTCGAGCTTTTGCTCCTCCCTTCCTCGTCCACTCAATGTCGCACTTCTCTCCGGTATTAGATTCAGCAATCTGAGTCAGAGGCCGATGTACCAGAAGTCGCCGCCGGCTGTTGCCTCAGAGAAGTGCAGGAACGTCTCTCTTCCTGATTTCGCATGTCAGTGTGTTAGGTTCCAGTGCTTTGGCACATCTCGCCGGAAAGCTGCCTGGCAATGGTGCAAAATCCTGTGTCGTCAGCTTGTCTCCCGTGAAGTTAGGCATCATCTCGGAAGTGTCTTGAGACACCGGACACGCTAAGACTTCCAGCGGCGCGTGTCGCGATTGGACACGAGACAGCTGGTATTGGCCCCTCGGCAGCAGTTTGTGTTTCGGAAGGGGCTTGCGGCTTGCTGCCTGCCATATCGTCGGCCGTTGTGACTCCACTTTGGTGCCCCGTACGCAGGCTCTCCGCTATGCAGCTGCTGACGGTGGGACTTGCCACGATTGGATGTGGAAGCTCATTGCTCGGGAGCAGCAGCACTGCAGCCTGCAATAATTTGACAACTCTACGGAAATCGGAACGCGTGATCATGTAGCTGCACGACAAAGACTTTCCAGACACTTGTAACTCGTGCCAGGCGCGGGCTTGTTGGCTGGTGGCAGCAGCAGGGACCCTGCTGCGCAGGGTACTGAGTGCTACTTGGCAGTTTTCCTTCAGATCACTCCGTCCTGTTGTCAAACTTGCGCCTATGGAAAATTCAGGCAGAGGGCACTCACTTCAGCGACCGGACAGCTGCCGCTGGATGCCTAGATTTGCCGAAGAGTTTTCGACAGCCGTTTGCTCGATCAACATGTCCGTCGCAAGAGCAGGCCACTTCTTTCGGGCAAGTGAATCTCTCATTTGCAGGCGCCGGCACCGAAGCCGCAGCCGCGCACAGCAGTTCGCGGGAATCTCTGTGCTCTTGTGATGGGTCATCATCCAACACCTCATCAGAAATCCTGATCGGATCTTGTCGGTGTGAGGTTGGTGCCCTGCTGGAGGAGCTCGTGGAGAGGGTTCCAAGTTTGAGGCCAGCGCAGGCTCGGAAGATGCCAGGGCTCGGTCACGAAGTTCACTACTTCAAGCCCGCTACTTTGCGGATGTTGTTGTTGCCCGCCGAAGGCTTGCTCGGCAGTAAAGAGTCCTATGCTCAGCTCCCGAAATCATGCAGATGCCGCGGGTGAACGTTCATGTGCTGAGGTTCTTGGAGTGACAAAGAGGAACACTGACTAGCTAATTTTGACAGCAACGTCCCGGGATATACCATCCCAAAGCGTCCCATATGAAGACGCCGCAGTACAGTCGCCAGGAGAAGGCTCCCATGAGAACTGCTACATGACAGAAGCTCTTCTGACATTCAAGGAATCCAATAGTCTTTGATCGCTTTCATTTTCTTGCAATCACGGCTGCAGTAGCAATAGTGCTCCCCCCTTCGTGTCTAAACTCGGAGCCACTCCGAACCTCTCAGATCACAGTTTGCGGACAGTATAGTATGCCATATCCAAAGCATGATGTAGCATAGTCATATCTAACCTGGTCTAGTTTCGTGTTCTTATCCAATCTAAACCTTTGCTTATCTTCTCTAGTCCTATCTGTCTAATCTAATCCAATCCAACCAAAATATGGTCCTCTGGTATTGAGATGTTATAAGAAAGCAGCATATGCACCACGACACAATGGGGAAGTATAACTATAACTGAACATAATCTCGTCGGCAGATTATTTTAGCATGACACGGTTTTGAACGCACAAAATTCCAAACGAAATCAAAACTCTCCCGAGACCCCCGAGCTTTCTGAGGCATCGCCTCGCTGAAAGCGCTTGCGGGCGCTCCGCTTGCATCCTCAGTGCTGGAAGCGCTCGCGCCCAGGCCCTAAAAGGGGCCCGTCAGACCAACTCGAGCACAGTGGTGATGGGTGCGGGCGGTGGTCGGGGTGATGCTGAAGCTGAGAGCGCCGACGATGATGATGTTTATGATGACGGTGACATCGGTTTTGATGTTGATAGTGGTGATGCAGGGGATCAACGTTTTGCAGAACCATGATGGCTCTGCGGCTAATCCAGTACCGACGATGGCGACGACAACACGGAGGATGGGAATTGGCGTTTACTCTTTCGGGTTCAGGGTGCCATCATCACCTCCTTTGGTTCGAAAAGGTGTTCGTGATGCACATCTCTCGTGACGAGCCCGGTTTTGCTGCCTCACTCCTCGAAGAAGCACACTGCCATGCCGGCATTGCGCAGTGTACACTGCATGACCGGGGTTAGGATTTGCTAGCCTCGCATTCAGGGCTGCTGTTCTGGTGCCCATCGTGCTTTCCAAGCCCCCGGGTTTGCAAGCCATCGCGTGTACAAGGCGTTTCGGGTCTCGGGTGCTCTGCCGATCGCTTCTTTTAGATTTTGGCGTGACATGTACATCGAGGTTTCGGGTTCGCCACTCCTGATGCGTAGGGGATGTTGATGGGATTTGGCGACCTTTACCCTTGCGAGGGGGCTTAAAGGGGCTTACTGCCAACCGGTCCTCTTTGACGTTTGTGTCAGAGGCATCTTTATCAATTGGCGACGTGTGTTTTTGCGAATGCAACATCTTTGCTTGCTGAACCTATCTTGCTGCTCCTCCCGCTTTACCAGCAAGAGCCGAGATAACGAAAGGTAGCAGGGGTGCGCGGTCTTGCTGATTGGGACGTGTGCCCAGGTCGGGCCCGCTCGCTGGGTGGAAGTGACTGGGATCCATCATCTGATCATTTTGGGGAGTTTACTCTGGCGCCGACATGCTCACTGCCTCTCAGGGCCCAACGTGACAATCTCAGGATCGCCACGACTTTGAGACCTTGTGACGTGGCGCTGTTGCTCGGGCCCCCGGACCTCTGTATCCGAAGCCGCCCCCTGAGCCGTGGCGCCGAGGCTGCAGGGTTGGTCGCAGCTCGCGGAGGAAGGGTCAGGTGCCCCGCTTGCGATAGGTTAGGTTCTATGTTCAACGCAGACCGGGATTCTTCCTCAGGCTCCGAGGCCCTCACCGTCGGCCCCCCAGCACAGACTCGACTCACAGACTCAGCCTGGTTCCTGCCGAGCCGAGGAAGCAGCTCGGCATCTGCTCCGTCACGGCGCAGCGCCGAGGCTGCTGGCGCTCTCCAGCTGTGCCCTGCAGGAGGTGCCGTTTGAATGCGCGCCTTGCCCTCTGCGGCCTCTGCGTCTTTGGCCCTTCGCGAGGCCGGGGCGCCGCCGCCGACGCTCGGGTCGATGTGCGCTGGTGCCGCGCAGTTGGCCATCTGGCAGCGCTCGGAAGGCGAGGTCGGGAGGGGGTGCCGACTGGACACCTTCCCCAAAAGATTATCACGCTCGTCAGGCAATGGCAGTCTCAACGCGGAGATGCGCGGAAGCACAGCTGCAAGAGCTGCGTGGCTTCGTGGGCCCGTCACATGTACAACCGAATCCTGCTGTGCTTCGGTTCCAGCCTGTTCCATCCTTTTGCACATTAGTACAGGCTGTTGACTTGAACTCGCTTCTACTCGTGAGAATTGTGCCAGTGGTCGGGCATCGGTCGCCCGCTTGAGCGCAATCCATTTTCGGCAGACTCAAGACCACGGCATCGTCTATCAACAACGACATGTCCACACGTTCACGCTAGTTTAGACACGTCGTCATAACAGACTTTGACAATCGCGCGAAGTCGGACCATGGGTTCCTCGAAGGCACCACGTGGGATCAAACAGTCGCGTGCTGCTCTGGCTCAAGCAGTCAGCAACCATCGCTGGGGAAGCAAACTCAAAAGAAGGACTACAGCAACTGGAAGCACAAGCAGCAACATTTACAGTTGACCAGCCTGTACGTCGTCAGGGCATGCAAGATGATGTCTCGCTCTCGCCTGTCCCGCCCTCGCCGCCTGCCAGCATGTCAATGAGTCAAATGTCGAAGAACCTTCTCAAAGTCTGCGGAGAGAGAGGTCACCCTCTTCACACAAGCAGCCTGACATCGCCTCCGGATCCGGTGCGGATGCTGTGAAGGTTGGTGAGATGCCAGCGCTCAGTCCTACAAATCTCACGTTCTGGGCATCTCACAGCAGCAAGAGGTGCTGCGGACTGCGGCAGGGGCCGTCGAAGCGAATGAAAAGGAAGCCGAAGGTGTCGAGCTGAGATCTTTTTACGCGAATTGCTTGCTTCCCTTGTGCAAGCCACTCCCATGCTTCTCTCTCGTTCTCTCTCCGTCTCTGTTGGACTTAGAGTCACCGAAAGAAGCCGGGAAAGTTTGAGACTTTGGCACCAGGTGATGGCGTCACCACGGGGGAGGCGAGGCCCATGTTTTCAGCATGTGCCCTTCGCTTTGATTAACTGGAAGCGCAGCTTGCAGCCCAAGGAAGCGGCGCAATGTTCGGAAACCTATAATACTCCACCCAAACTCTGAAATCCAAACCACACCACAGCACATTCACCGATGCCTTGCGCTGTGAAGGCTTGGAGTCCCTACTTCAAGGCGGGGCTGCGGCCGGGGCTCTGCCGTGAGTCGTCAGCGGAGTATAGGAGTCGCTAGGAGTCGTTACCTGTATGTGCGAGAGTAGCACCAGGAGCGTCTTTCGAATGCACGTGATGTTATATGTTTCGTCATGTCTTGTTCTCTTCGCGCCCGCTTGCCCTCGACCAGGCACATGGTCTTGATGAGCTTCTGCCGGATCTGGTGCGACAGCTCGCAGCCGCAGAGCCTTCGGACCCGTACCAGTGGGGGCCCGACGTTTCGTGCCTTTGCAGCCTCTGATAGTTGCAAAACCTGATAGGGGCCACGAGCCCGAATGCAGACACGCGCAACGCAGATATCGTCAAAAAAATAACTACAAGGAAAGGCATATTCATACGACCG